CTTTAATTTCTTTTCTTTATTGTGACCCTTGCATGTACCGAGATGGGAAATAAGTCTGTGTTTAGTCTTTGATGCCATAGTCCCTAGCATATACTTGCGCTTAGAAAAACGTAAGTCCCCGTGAGTTTTACTTCATCCTTGCACTCATAACAGCAGTACAAACCTAAGGAGTCCATATGTCTTTCATCTTATTCCGTGGGTCGCGAATTGGATCTTCAATTTCCCGGAATCTTCTCTGGTATACTATCCCTTTATTTCCACCAATTTCTACTATTTTTCCAGCGATCCGCGGTGCCTGGTAGAGGCTACAACCTACCTAACCTGAGTATCAGTGAATAACCTTTGATATTACGACCGCGTTGTCAGACCAAACGCCCCAAATGTCTCCAATTTTCATATACAGGAGGTATTTTGAACCCTGTATTTCCTTCCCCTACCATTCACTATCGTGTAGACAGGTCAATGCCCTAGCTTAAGCGATTTGTTTGTAGGTTATTAACGAGCACAACGTGGCGTCGGTAGCGCGACGGTTAGGTCATTGGACACGGAACCAATAGGGCCTGGCTTCGATACCCACCATGCCCCTTGGGAAAGGCACTTTACACTACCTTCCTTTCCCTGACGGTGGAGTGACGCCCATTTAGAGCCTCTTTGGTTAATCTGTCTAAATGTTACTAGCCAAAAACACACTGCGCCAATAAGCTATCTGCTCATCATTTGCCACCAAGAGTCGTATTTGATTTTAATAACGGATATATACGAGATCACGATGTCAGTACTAGCACTAGTTGCATAAAGAGCCCGCGCCGTGTCCGCTGTAAGAGTCACTTATTCATACCGCTTCTCATCTACGTGCCAGGCATCAGTCAGTTAGTCAAAAGGCGGTCAAGAGAGGAGACAGATTAACTCCGCATTTCCAACAATCCGCTACGTCCTATGGTAACAGTTGTTTACGTGACTTGGAATAACCTCCCTGCCTTTTGACCCTGGGAAACACAAAACACGGCGGATAATATCATCTATTTAATTATTCATAAGCAACGGAAGGCACAACACGTGCACCTCCAAAGACATCATATCATCAAAAAAGTTGAATTGTCAAGACAATAGTCATATTAGCTGAAATACAACAAGGTACAATAAGTCTGAATTTATAATAATGTATAGCAAAGTTCTTTCATCACAACCATTTATTTTTCAAAAGCAGACGTTTCGATGACCGTCTGTCATCTTCATTAGGCCGCAGCAAGTAATTTTTATGGATGACATTTGGTAAAATATGTGTAACATGTACTTGTCGTCGTTTTAACCCCGCAATACTATCATAAACATATTAACCAAAAAGTTTACTCAATATAATATGAACTGAATGTAAAAAGGAAAGGCCTCGTAGTAAGGTTTTAGCGAGTCCTTGTAGTAAATAAATGTAGCAGATAAAATGTGCGTCATACTATCCATTAAAAGGAAAGTACGACGTATTATTCTATTGTGTAAGAGCACAAGAGCGTTTGTAGCAATTATAGATGTAGCGTTATTCTTTTGTGCCTGAAGGCCAGCCACTTACAAAGATTGGTCATTACACGCTCTAATGACCCTGTGTTGGCGCTCTGACAAAAACAACCAACATTCTGTTGTTACAGAACGCGCCGGGAGACGACAAAGGCAAGATGGAAAAATTCATGATGTTGGTTGCAGGTCAGTCATGTTTTTAAAGTCCAGTTTTAATGTTATGCTGGACAAGGCAATGGCAGGACATGGGTCTCCCATCGGAGATGGGTGGAACTCAAATGATGGGTCTCCCACAAGTGTTTCCCTTGTTAAGTGTAAGAGCAAAAGAAGCAATGCTGAAGACCAGATGGTAGCACAAAATAATGTCAACTTGAGTAAAGCTAGTGAGAAACCTTACATATGTGGAAGAGAGGTAAGAAACTATTCTTCTGTACAGAAAT